GTCTGGCGAGTACGGAGGGTGAGGTAGAATTTCCCATCCTAGTCGCGCTATTGTTTCCTGAGTGATTCTTGCAGTGTGTGGTCTTGCATTGTCCTGGTGGAAAACCACACCTTTTTTCTGTTCGCCTTAATTGAAAGTAATCTAAATTAACAAATACACTGAATGACACTCCTTGACATATGTCTTAACATGTATTCAAAGTTACCCTACCACTAGATCCAGTTTACCGAATATGCTTCATAAAAGTAAACAAAAAACCCCTTTTTTGATTGCCTAATAATAACAATTATCCCGGGCGTACATTATCTATATCCTTTTGCGGCGGAAAGTTATGAGCTTGAGGGGAGTTGCTCCCGTGGCACTTCCTTTTTCAGCGAGTCCGCCTCCGCACGCCGCGCCGCGTTCATAGTGTGTCCTCCAGCAAAATAAATTATGCTACAGGAAGAGTAGCATGAAATGGAAGCTTTCATTGTCCACTTGTAAGGTCGTAGGAATCAGCCAATTGAACTGTACGAGTTCACCTGGCTGACTCCTCATTATGGAATCCTACGAGCCTCACAAGTGGGCAATGAAATGACCAATGACCTTTGTACTTGTATGGCTCTCGATGAGAAAGGGGCCCATAAGAAGTGTTTCTGTTCCTTTTGCGATTCCCCCTCATCGATGCGCCCGTTGCCGACTTCCCCTTCACATTTCAACACAATTGCTCAAGCTTAATAACGTGAATTGTGTCTCCGAGTAACAGAGTGGACGTGAAGACCACGGACAAAGCCATCTTTATTCATCCAAACGGCCATCTTCCTCTTATCGGTGGATGCAGTTTCTCCCAGACTTCCTCAAATCCGCCTTTCTTAGGAGGACACGGGGGATGAAAGCACGCGCTAGTCATTCCGATGAAAGAGCACGTCTGAAAGCGTTTTTTAATAATGTCATGCATGGACTTCTATAAATGCAAGATTCTTCACGGAATATTCTATAGACATTCCGCAAAAAGGCTTACTAGTAGAGCGACGATCCACATAATTAGGAACGCAACTCTCATTGTCCTGAACGAGCTTGTGTCTCCTGTAAAACTTTTATGGAATCAAAGTCCAGTATTGTGAGCAGGAGTGGGCCCTCTACCACAAATGGCTCGGTCCCCTTGTTGTCACCCACATCGGAGCATCGACTCGGCCTGGGTGGGAGACCTTTCTTGGCCTTTTTGAAAAATGAAAAAGATCTTGCAGTGGTCATAATACGTCCCACAAAATGCCCCATTCGATGTTACTAGCGCTCCAATATCTCTTGAAATTTGCAGATTTGGAGAGATTTGAGCTACGAGGCAGTGAAGAGAAAGAGAGAAGAGAAAAGCACAACTGTTTGACCGGTTTCCGACTGCTCCTTTATATTCTACCAGTCGGATCGCCCGGCTGTCGCCGGGCGCTCCTCCTTCTGTGACATGGCCCGGCTTCGCCGGGCCATGCGGATTTGCCGCGTGCTAAGTTAAGGATCGTTGACCAACCACACTGTTCAAAGGAATCTTCTGCATCAGCCAAGAACTGAAAAGCAGCGCTTGTTCCGTCAAGGCGCAGAAGCAGCAGCAGCCCCCCCCCCCGCATCACAGAAGGAGGAAAGCCGGCCTTAGCCAGCGATCCGACTGGTACGTTCACAACCTACACGGAAATAGTGCAGCCTGTTTGGACAGCCACTGAAGCATAATTT